TTGCTTGTCAGATTGTTAATGGCCCCATAGTAACCTTTTTTCCATTTGGAAAACCTCTTTTGAGTCTTTTCAATCAATCCACTGGTTGAGGATATTCTTTTGGTGTGTTCTTGAATGAATACAAGAATGGCATAAGGAGGAAAGGGGTGAGGGTTGGAACTGCACATAAATAGCAACCATGCATCTAAGGAATTCACAATATCATAGTGGTATCAGTGGCAAACACGATAAAAGGCTGCCACATACAATACAAGCATGATCAGCCAGTCCATAGGAAGTTTATAAATATATTTCACCAACATTAAAAGGGTAGGTTGGAAGCTTGATCATGAAAAGAGAACTTTGAGGAAAAAAAGATCACATGCATTCATGATAAGGGATCTAACAACAAATAAACAAAAAGACAGTAAACATCACCTGTAAAATGCCCATTTCATTCCAACTATTGACTATACCGTCCATATAAGAGTAGCTGACAAAGAAACAGACAATTCCATCTGGAACAGCAGCAACCATTTCCAACAAAAGCCGTCCATAATTCCTTACAACACCAGGATCACTGCGCATATCGAATTTTGTACTTACAGGTAGCTGATCACTGAAACGTCAAAGTATAATCCAAACCATAAGACATTGTAACTCTAAACTAAAAAGTCCATTCCAAAGAATTATTAGCATAAAAGAAACTATGCATGTGTTCACATAAAGTCCTAGAATTGCCATAGATTATGGCACAAGTTTTCGCTTGCCAAAGGTAGTAAAAGTATCCTATAGTTAGAAGTGATGTAGAACTATATTAAAGCAACATGAAATAAACTTACAGTCATGAACTCACTGCATGAAAACATACAAGACATTAGAAGTTAGGAAGCTCCTAAATGAGCAAGAATAGGACTATGTGCAACTGTATAAACTTATAGTCTACATAAGGTTGTTCGCTTTGATCAATCAATACCTTCCGCGAGTAAGAACCATGGGGCATATACAGTCTCTTGTCAAAGACATTGTAAAACTCCGACTAATCACAGGATTGAAATTTAACAATCGAGGATACAGATCGATCGGGCTCAGAGTTCCAGAAGTAATTATAACAGATTGGAACCGATCAAAAACAGGCTTCATGGCAAGAGAGGCATCATGACAGCTGAGCTGCATCACCCAATTAAGACCACAATGAATTTACAATATAAAGTTAAATATTATAGTATGTCAAAAAGCAGATTCGAAGCAAAACCTGCAGTACAGGATCTGGTATATGAGGCATCCTCTCATCAAATGGTTCAATTATTATGGAAAATCCACGTGTGTATGTCCCAACCAGTGTTGCAAAGTCACAGACTGTCTGAATATGTAAAAAATCATCTGTGTCGGTTATTTCAAGTGTAAGCATAAGTGAGTGTAGACGGTCATAGCAGAATTTCAGCATTTTCTGATCAATCCCAGCGTGAGAATTTACTGAAGCAACAAAGGCAACTGGTCCTTCTGTCTCAACATTCTCAGTTTGAAGACGCCCCTTGAGATATTGTACAAATCTTCGAAGAACAGATAAAAAGTGCTCTGCTCTTCGGATATTTCCAGGCACAGCCTCCTTCAAGATATCATCAGGTAAGGCAGGATTTGCAAGCCAGGCATCCGTTACTTTACCCATAAATATTCACAAATATAAATGAATCAGCATCATATACGAACCATCAAAGGAAAAATAGATTCAAGTTCTAAAGTAAGAAATAGAACACACAAGCCAAATTTCCTCTCTGCGCCAAACCCTCAACGAGGCGGTTATATTCAGCACGCAATCTGCTAGCATCAGTGGCCTTGAACCTTCCTACCAAATTAAGCACAAAGGATTATTGAAACTGAAAATTCGCATGATACATCACCTAATAGAATAAGCAAAAGGCCAAACAGCTTTTAAATATTGTCTAGGAGATCATTACAAAAGCTTTACAAATGGATTAATTCCTATATATCGGAGAATCCAGAAGACATGGGTCGGTTGGGTTTACAAAAGGCATACTTATTTGAGATGTTGCAACAGCTTGAGAGATTATTTCACATTCATGCGAAAATAATAAACAAGGAGGTTGCTGCTTAAGCTAAACCATATGATATATTAGTTTAAGGTTTCTGTTAGAAGCACTCAGAGCAAGGGGCTCCCATGATAGGTGAACATCTATGATTTTGAGGGATTGAAAAATCTGCAATACTGATTAACGAAGTAAAGGACAGATCAATTACATCCAAGGGAGGCTTTTATCAGGGTAATCTTCTTTTACTAAGATGTTAACCATTTAGCTAATGTCGGTTTGCTCAAAGGACATGGACCTGATCGTTGATAAAAAAACGTACTTAACCTACATAATGTTGATGGTGCTGCTTTTTGTAAGGATTGCTTCAATCAATAGTCTAGAAATTTATTTACATATGTATTCATGAGCTGACATAAGTTTTTTTTTTTTGAAACTTCCATAAAAGTCAATTATTATGCTAAATGGTGAAGAGCACAGACAGCTTACAGTTGCATCCTAACTGTCAAAGCGATCGATGTCATACTATCTTTGCACTCCTTGATGGATGAGATAAGATGGATAAGAGGTAAGCAGGCTTGAAAAAAAAAATCCGGCTTTTGTAGAGGGGCCGGCTGCTGTTAGTGAATTCAATCCTTCATCCATCCTTCTATAGGTTATGACTTTACAAGCCGAAGAATTTCCTCCGAAGAATTTCCTTTGATGATGGCGGTCAAGGACTTCAGCTTGCGCATGTTTAGTTAAGAAGTATGTTTATCATTGTAAAAAACAAGGAGGCTTAGGTGGTTTAGCTCAACAGCAGTGAATGTTGTGGCAGTTTTTTAAATTTAAACTGTCAGGGCCTTTTGTAGAGAAGATTTATCCTTCATCGGCATTGTTCATCAGTAGCTTAAAATAAAAATTGGATCTTTTAAATAAATGGGTGAGAAGTTTTTTTAAACTATCAGGACCATTTCTGGAGAAGACTTATCCTTTATCAGTAGCTTAAACTCAAAATATAATCTTCTTATAGCGAGTAATTGATAGTAGAAGTGTTTAACCGTCAGGATCTTATGTGGAGAAGACTCTTCTTTTCTTTCATCAGTAGCATCAAACAAAAATCTAATGTATTCAAAGAAGAAAATGGTTGTAGAAGGTTTTAACAGCCAGGATCTTTTGTGGAAAATATTTCATCATTTCATCAGCATTGTTCAGCGCTATCTTAAATTAAAATTTGAATCTTTTTGAAGAAGTAAATGGTTGTGGAAGTCTTTTAACTGTAGGGATCTTCTGTGGCGAAGGCTGTGTCCGGTAAAAATTGGATATTTTCGAAGAAGAAGCAAAGGGTTATGGAAGTTGTTTAACTGTGACGACTTGTGTGGAGAAGACTTGGTGTTCATCAGTAACTTCAAACAGAAGTCGAATCTTTTCGATCAAGTAAATGGTTGTTGAAGTTTAACTGTCAGGATCTCTTGTGTAGGAGATTTATCTTTCATCAGTATAATTCATCGGTAACTTCAAACAAAAACCAAGTATTTCTCACAAAAAAAAGGGAAAAAAAGAAAAGAAAGAAGAAACAATACCTATCAATCTCATGTTCTATCCTATTCAAATTTCTCGTCGCCCCATCCAGCGTCTGCTTCCTCACACTCACACTCAATGCCTCAATACAAACATTATCAATATTATGCGCCTCATCAAACACAACCACACACTCCCTCTCCATCTCCTTTGATATGATCCCTGCCACCTTTGGATCCAACAGATACTAAATCAAAGAAAAAAAAAACACTAGCAAAAATGAGCGTAGCAGAAATGAGAAAGTTATGATGGTACTCTTGTGTACATGCAGTGAAAGATAAGAGTGCATTGGTATGATATCAGAGGTTGAACTATTGAGGATAAAATGAGCGAGAATCAGTGAGATGTCCCGGTCATGCACTATTTAGTGCAAATATGATAGTAGTAAGTGCTATTTGCACTTTAATGCCCCCCGAGATTTCATCCTTCTAACTTTGATGCCTTGAAGTTCCATTTTTGACAATTTCGTGCAACAATTTGATACCTGAAAGCCCTAACTTCAAAACTTTTGGGCGTCAAAGTTAAACAAGATCAAAACTTTGGAACTCGGGCATTCGTGCCTCACCTAATCATCTGCCTGGCGAGGAAATAGGGGCAGATCCCCTTGTCCTTCCCGTACTTCCTCAGGTCCTGCAGCGTGTAGACCCCCGGCGGCAGCATCACCATCTCGGGGCCCCCCGAGTTGGTCAGCGCGTCGTAGTTCTCGTAGAAGGATGCAGAGCGGTACCTCTCCGGCGGCCGGTCCGCCGCGGCGCGACCTGACCCAGAGACGCGTCAGCGCGCCTGCAGGCCGAGTCGACGGAGTCCCTGGTGGGGGCGGAGAGCACGGCGGCGGTTGGGCGCAAGAGGTTCTTGGGAGGAAGAGGCCGAGGGCGAGGGAGCGGAAAGGGGAGGGGAGGCGAGGCGAGGGGTCCGGGTGGAGGAGGCGGACTCGGCGAGGGTCTTTCTCCATCTCGTGGAGGTTGCGGGTGGCAGTAGAGGCGCTTGGTGGGGCGGCGGGAGAAGGAGTAGGAGGTGATGAGGGAGAGGAGGGGCGGCGGTGCTTGCCGGAGCCGGTGGGCATCTCGAGGAGGCAGTGCCGCCGGCGGTCGGGCCCGCTTCAGGTCAGCATGTACCGCGTACTGCTACCGGGTAATGTGATCGTCCGGGAAGTAGACTCCATGTCGGCTCCAGCCGGAACCTCATGTCTCCTGCCGACGGTTCTGATCGAGTTCTACTAAGGGTTGCGTGCCGGGGGTAGGGAAGGGTTTTTTTTTTTTTTTGCGGTCCTGCGGTCTGGCGGTCGGTCGGTGGGCGTAAAAATGAATGGGTTAATATTGCGCTAAAAAAACCCCTGAACTTTGGACTTTTCTCGTCGCGCTCCCCTGCACGTGATTTCTAAATGACTGGTATTTAAGAGGAAGGAAACTCCAAACTTTGCCATTTTGCAATGGAAAACTCCTGATTGATTTTTGCCGTATCTCGCTGCGATCTCGCCGCAGCCTCCTCCTCTCTCTTATCACCCCCTCGAAATTCGCCCAATTCTCAGAGCCCCAGCCTCATCCCAAAACCCTAACCCTAAATCTTGAAATATCTTCTCCTGCGATCAGTTCGTGAAACCTGAACCTGGGGAGAATTCAAGATCGTCGAGATCGGACCGTGGGGTTTTCTGACGTTGACGGGTAGGCTGAAGAAGTTGGCGCCTCGATATTGGGCTTGGGATCCGTCGGGCTTCGAAGAGGCTTGCGAGCCTGACAAATTGTAAGTGAAAGTGCTAGCTTTTTGGTCATTTTCGCAAATTTGAAGATGAATATTTCTTGCATGTTATTACTTGCGCTGGTGTTCTTGGCTTTATTGTTTGTTAAAGCAAAAAAACAAAGTTTTTTTGGAGAAAATTAACCAATTCTAGACAATAACTTGGTTATGAATAAAATCGTGGTAACATTTCTTAGGTGAAATGAAGTAACAAACAACCTTTTCAGTATTATGAGAAATTGTAATTCTAGTGTTCTATTCACTATTTTCTTTGTTAGTAGGAAAACAGTGAATCTGAGTTCCATAGGGATTTGCTATCCCTTGATTATATTAAAGCTAACGGCATGATTTAGATCAGACAATTCAGATTCAAGAATTGGGCAACATTTTTTGTGGTCTTCTAGAGTTATTTATTGTTGTAAAAAAAATCCCGATATTTTCTGCAAAAAGGAACGTTAAAGTTTAATCTTGGTTTAAAGAAGTCTACATCTTGCTTGAGATTATTTAGAAACTTCCTAGCTATTGGGGATTCCAAGTTTCATCTTTAGTATCTTTTTCATACTACAAATATAGTAAATCTGAACAACACTTAGAATGGTTTCCAATATTATTTTAGCTGACTTTGTAAGTTTACTTGGTTTGTTGGAGAGTTGGAATTTTGAAAAACTATTTAACAGGAATTAATTAATTAAATTTTGTTTGATAAACGATGTCATGCACTGGATCGTTGAATTTGTCTTTGGCTAGCTTGTCCACTGTGAGAGCTTGCCTAGTTTTGCCACACATAACTAACAGTCTAAACCATGATAGAACTTCATAATTTCCCGGGATATTGCTGACCGGTTCAGTAATTTGCGGTAATAATGGCGTCCTTAGAAAACGTAGTCTCTGCCGCCATCAACTAGGTTAACACAAAATCCGTAGTTCATAGGAATCAGTTAGTGAAATTTGAATGGGAATTTACAGATCTTAAGGCTTGGTCTGGCAGGAGAGGAGGTAGGGTTATGTGAGGGATAAAAACACGGAAAATGATTGGGAAGTTGTAGGAGGAAGTTTTCAAATTGGAGCTTGTATGTTCCCATATGGTGTCTATGTGCATGATATTGTGCTTTCAGGTGTTGTATTTATATGCTTCGACTGAGAAACATGTTAGTTTTTATGATATTTCATGTACAAATTCTGGATTTTATGTTGCATGCTCTGTGGAAAATGTAGAGGGAACGTCCGCATGAATGTTTAGTGAAGAATACTTAACTAGTGACCTCTTAGGAAGAAGCCCATGCATGGAGGTGAAAATATATGATCTTAGATTGTTTCTTTGTAAAATATCGGCTCACTGGGCTGAACTTTTTTTTTCTTTTATTTATTTTTTTTCTCTTTTGTTTGGATAAATCTTTTTTTTTTCTGATTATTCCTTTTCTCTTTTGTTTAGATAAATCTTAGTCAATCTTATTATTATGGTTCTGGAAATATTCTCACAAAAGGGTATTATTGTGCGTTTACTAACTCATCGCCTCATCTCCCCTTTATAACCCCTCAACCGAACAAGAAAAAGTCATGTACCTCCCCTGACCCTCTCTCCAACCAAACAAGAAGCACAAAAGGTGTGTCCTTCTTTGTATCACGCACCGAGATTAATTTAAATGGTTCCGACGTGTTTGTTTTCTCATATTTGTTGTTGGCATTTTGCCATCTAGTTGTAGTAAGCAACTGAAGGTGATTTTAATTTCACTTAATAAACTTAGTTCCGTGTATCATTTTGCCATCTAGTTGTAGTATCATTTTTCAGTAAGCTTTGTAACTTGTGATCATATATCCGACATGAGTTTTTGATCATTTCAGTCATTTGAGGCAACAATGGCGCCCCTGAAAGACATAGTCCCTGCAGCCACGAACACGGTGAACACTCGATTCATAGTCCTCGAAAAAAGCAACACAATCCGAGATGGCAAAGCGTCCACATGCCTATCTCTCGTCGCAGATGAGACCGCAGCAGTTCACTTTCAAATGTGGGGCGGCGAGTGCGACGCTTTTATCCCCGGAGACATAGTTCAACTCACCAACGGAATCTTCTCCTACCACAAGAATAACCTCGTGCTGAGAGCGGGCAGAAAGGGAAGGGCTGAGAAGATCGGGGAGTTCACGATGGTGTTCGTCGAGTCCCCTAATATGAGTGAGATTCGATGGAGTAGGGATCCGAAGAATCCTAAGAAGTTTGTGAAGGAGGAGGGCGTTGTTCCTGATCGTTCTCGGATCTTTACACCTTCGCCATAAGCGGCTGTGTGTTTTGAGTTTTGTGTTCCGTCTTGAATGTATTGGTAATGTAGTTGGTTGTAGCTTTTGAACATGTAAAAAGTCCTCTGAGTTTC